TTGCAATGTTTTTCCCCCGATAAATCCATTATTCATTTACAGAAAAAGAAAAAGGAAAACTGTATTAAGACTATCTTGGTTGCAAGACTAGGATTGTCTTTGGTCTTGAGCCTGTAGCCAAGCTATGAAAGCATACCTTGTGGTATATGGTTTGGAAACCAAATGGAATTGTGCCACATAATAGATGGTGGAGGAGGAAGGAGACATTGAAGTCCCCCACGAGTACCCAGGGAGAATGTGAGTAGATAGTAGCTAGACGATATATATCACTCCACAGCTTCCTTCTAGATCTGCAGTGTTAGAGGCATAGATAACAGAGAATAAAAAGTATGTACGTTCACTATCACTAAGTTTTTGAAATTGAAGGACCTTAATTAGGATTGAAAATAATCCAAATCTTCCCTAAAATAGAATGCTAGTAGTTGTTTAATAACTGCCAAGATGGGGCAATATTCGTTAAAACAACATTGATATTGACTTCTTGGATTTTGGTTTCCAAGATGGCAATAAGCTGGAGGTTAGAATCAAGGATAAGCTTCCTTATTTCTTTTAGTAAATTCTGAGGTTGAGAGGTGGTTTTCTGGTGTTTTTGGGCAACAGTCCATTGGTATGCAATATGGGTTGGATTTAGGGGTGGAAAATTGGGTCAGAAATCATCAACTCACCCATATTTGCTCGTTTTTTTAATAGTTATGGGTGAACCATATTTAATTTGAGGGTTAAGATGGGTTGGGTAATTTTTAACCACTTAATTTGAGGATATTTTACCTATCACATAATAAACACACAACACGTATCTATTCTATATTGCACTCAACTCATTTCTCTCTCTAAAATTCTCTCATTTAGAATCATGTATCTCTAAATTTGTCTCTCATCAATTCTTTTTCTCAAAGTTTCTCTCTCTAGAAATTTCTTCTAAAAAGAATAAATAATTAAAAAATAATTAAAAAAATTAAAAATAATTTTTAAAAATTTTAAAATTAAAAATAAAAAATTTTAAAACATCCAAAAAAATAATTTAAAAATAAAAATAATAAAAAAATTAAAAATTAAAAAATTTAAAAAAAATAAAAAAATTTAAAAAATAAAAAATAATTAAAAAAATTTAAAAAATAAAAAAATAAAAAATAAAAATTAATGGATCCACGGGTCATAACAGGTTGACCTTGTCTATTTTCAATCCGTTCATTTTTAACCCTTTCAACGGGTTGAATATGAGTTTTAACCCATGTTGACCCGCCCACAACCCAAACCCGGCCCAACCTGTCCATTTGCCGCTCCTAGTTGGATTGCTGCTGGAAATAGGGTCATTTGACACCATGTTACCACTGAAATCACCATTTGTTTTGCAAGTAGAAGTTGAGTGTCCAAAACATTTACAAATTGAACATACTTGGGGTTTCCATTGATATTCAGCTGTAATAGTGATGAGCCTGTTCTCATCTACCTTGAGTTTGAAGTTGTCAACCATAGGTTTAGTTGCATCAATCTCCACATGATTCCTTGCACAACTGATATTTTTTTTGGTTTCTGTAAGTGACGTCTATCTGCAAATAGAGGTTTGCCAACAACACTTGAGATGTAACTGAGGCCCTTTGCAGTCCAATAGTACTCAAGTGGAATATTGAAGAATTTAATCCATAAGGGGGGATAAGACTACATGTGTCCTTGTTAATTTCCATACCTTTGTGCCATTTTTTGAGAATGATAGGCCTTCCCATGATCATCCATGGGCCATTAGAAAGGACCTTGTTGCAGTCTTCTTCACTAGTGAACTTGAAAATGTAGAAGCCTTTCCAAGCAATTCCTCAAAACCAATTGAGCCCTATAGTTTCATTGTCTGATGTTAACAAGGGTGTATGGTATCTTTTTCTGGGTAAAGTAATTAACCTTCATCAACTAGGGTTCCGGGAGGGTTAACCACAATGGGGTGGTCAACACTCTCTTTTGGAGGGAGAAATTCAAAGTTCATCTTGCTAATGTCATAGTTGTCATCAGCAGCTAGTAGTACCTGCTACAGTGGACCACCTGCCTCTACCACTGTAACCTCTTCCTCTACCTCTGCTAGAGGCTAGAGTTAGCATTGCTGGAGTTGAGATGGTTGGGGGTGTTCCTATTTTCCCCTTCAGTTATTTAGCCTTTTCATTATTAGCTGAAGCAAGATTTAAAGACCTCCCAAGCTCAGCAAATTTCTCTTTGGCATGTGCAAGTTCACTCCTAGCATTTGCTAGTAGTGATCTTGCAGGAGCCTCATTCACAATTTGCTATGTTAGCTGACTCTTTAATTGTGAAAAGTAATTATTCACTTCAGTTGGTGGAAAAAGAAAAATACAAATCTCCCGTTACATGCAAGTTATAATAAAAGAAAAATTAAGTTCGATCAGTTCATAGTTAATTTTTTTTTTCACCATAGTTAATTTGAACATACATATTTCATTGATTTTATAAATCCTCTCATCTTTAGGACTCCTTTGGTCAAATGGAAATTGATACTAATAGAAGACAGATAATTGAATGAAAGGAAAAAAATTTCATAGTGTATTTGATTAGCATACAATTTTTTCAAGAAAATTATAAAAAAATTACTACCATTTTATGGTCTGAATAACATGAAACTTACCATAAAAAGTAATGGCATTATTGTAATTTTTAAAAACTTTCACAAGAAATAAAAAATTTCCAGTGTGTTTTTTTTAAGGTACTACTGGGAAGTAATTTTCTTTTCCGAGGTTAATATATATATATATATATATTATATATAGATATAGAACCAAACATTGTACTTGCATGGCCTTATTTATCATCAAGTTCTAAGCTAGAAAACTAAATTAAAAATGTTTTTGAATATAAATCCCTGAATGTATAATCCAGTATATATATAGGACTTGGATCCTCTAAGTTAAATATTCTCGAACTTATCCTAAGTTGAATTGCTACATATTGACATGTGATATTTAAAATCTAACTTGTGTTAAACTATATCAACTAATTTAAATAAAGTTTTAAAATTGCACCGTTTAGTTTTGAGATAAGGAAAATTTATCAAAGTTTAAAAACTGCACCGTTTTAAAATAACAAAAATTCACCATACTTTAACGATGTTTAACGTAGTTATGTCTTCCTCATATTTTCCAAAAAAAGATCCTCCCTCTCTTTCCTCTTTATAAACAAATCGTGTTCTCTATTTCTCTTTTAAATAGTAGCAAATTTTAGAATTTTTTTTCGTAGTTGATACTCATACAACCCCGGTTCCAAGGGATTGTTTGCACCTTGCAAGAAATTTTTAGATTTTTTTTATCATTTTATTTTTTTGAAGGTCTTCAGGAATTGAAGATCTTATCAATGTCCTTAAAACATAACAAGGTGCAAACAATCCCTTGGAACGGGGTTGTGTGAGTACAATTAGGAAAAAAAAAAATCTAAAATTTGTTACTATTTAAAAGAGAATAACGCCCACTTGTTTAAGATATGAATAAAGAGGAGAGAAAGGGAGGATATTTTTTTTTTTGGAAAAGATGAAGGAGATAACAATTAGAGTATGGTGAATTTTCTTTAATTCAAAAGGGTACGGTTTTTAAACTTTGGTAAATTTTTCTTATCTCAATACGGTACAGTTTTTAAACTTTATTTAAATTAGTTGACGTGATTTAACACCAATAGATAGATTTTAAATGTCACTCGAATTCAATTTAGGATAATTTAGAGAATATTTAACTTAAATGATCCAAGTCCATATATATATATATATATATATATATATATATATAAAATTATGATTTTACACTCAACCATCTATAAATAGATCAAATTGTGGAAATCCTATCAATTATGATGTTGTGAAAATATAAGGCGATGATGGCGGTTTGGTAGTAGAAAGTAAAAGTGAAAGGAAAGAAAGAAAAATAAAATTTTCATCTTGTGTTTAATTAGCATGAAAAAATTATCATTTTATAATTTGAATAGTGTGAAACTTACCATAAAAGAGGGGTTTTTTTGCAAAAATTCCCAAGAATGTCGTGAAACAGCTAAGTGGTTATGAAAAGATATTTTTCCTACAAATTTTATTTTATTTTTATTTTTCATTTAGACTCCTTTGGAAGTAAAATAATTTTATATATATATGCAACGACCCACTCTACCACATGGTATGATATTGTCCGCTTTGGGCCTGAGTTCGCACGGTTTTGCTTTTGGGCTTCACCCCAAAAGGCCTCATACCAATTGGAGGTGACACATTTACATATAAGCACTTCACCTTTCCTCTACCCAGAAGATGTGGGACTGTGCACCCGTAGCTCGCTAGTGTGGTAGCCTGACAGTGTCTCTCGCACCCGCCCACGGACATACCCGCCCACAAGGTTATCACAATCCACCCCCCTTGGAGGCCCGACGTCCCCGTCGGCACACTTCCGGCTGGGTCAGGCTCTGATACCATTTGTAACGACCCACCCCATCACATGGTATGATATTGTCCGCTTTGAACCTGAGCCCACACGGTTTTGCTCTTGGGCTTCACCCTAAAGGGCCTCATATCAATTGGAGGTGACACACTTACATATAAGCACTTCAACTTTCCTCTACCCAGAAGATGTGGGACTGTGCACCCGTAGCTAGTCAGTGTGGTAGCCTGACAGTGCCTCTCGCACCCGTCCACGGACACACCCGCCCACAAGGTCATCACAATATATATTTTTAATGACAACTTCAACCTAAACCTTTATCAAATATAAAAAAAAATATTTAACCATAAAAAAATTCTTTTTCTAAAAAACATATTAAGTCAAACCAAACTTAGTAAAAAGCCAATGACTAGCTAGTCTTGTGGGGTAGGGATGAGTAGTCAGGTTTACCTAGTAACTATAAGCCTAAAGAAAAGTATTCCACGTTCATCCAAAAAAACAAAGAAAAAAAAAGTATGTTTAATTAGGTTTTGGCTTAAGCTAAGCGTTCACGCTACAACACAGTAACCACGATTCTGAGAAAATTAAAACCCTAGAATGGCCACAGAGAAAGCTAGAAGAAAGTCACTGCCACATCTTCTTCCTGAAGATATCATCCTTGAAATACTTCTGCAACTCCCTGTCAAGTCTCTGGTTCGGTTCAGATGCATTTGCAAGAGTTGGGTCGCTTTAATTGATGAGCCAGGCTTCACCAAAAGGCGCAACCAACGTCGTATAATTTTCTCAGCTTTTAACAAACCACCATTCTCAATTGAATCTATGGACTTTGAAGGTTTAGATAACAACCTAGTTACTTTCAATCTTCCATTGAAAAAAACTCCTAAACCACGTATTGAAGTGCTGGTTTTGGGGTCTTGTAATGGCTTGTTATTGTGCAAACTCCATCAGAATTTCGAAGATAACCTCTTCTTATGCAACCCTACCACTAGACAGTGCAAAGAGTTGCCACAAACTGGTTTTTGCAGATGTAGTTTAAATTTCTATGGATTTAGTTATGATTCCTCCACTGACGACTACAAGGTAGTGAGAGGTCTTTGCAGGCTTGTCAAACACTTCAAAAGATGTCATAAAAAAGCTTCTCGAATCAAAATCTATTCAAGAAAAACCAATTCTTGGAAAAGGATTGAAGAATTCCCTTCCCTGAGATTCTTCCAAAGTATTGGTGCTCTTGTTAATGGATTTCTGCATTGGAAAGGCGACCTTCAGCCCTGTAAAAAATGGTTATTGATTGCTTTCGATTTAGAGAAGGAAAAATTCAGAGAAGTGCCAAAACCGGATTTTGGAGATTGGGGTTTCATACATCAGGTATGTGTTTTAGATGGATGTCTTTGTGTAGTTTGTGGTCATTGCGAAAGGTATACTAAGGATTTGAGTTTGAAGGTATGGGTGATGAAAGAGTATGGAGTGAAGGAATCTTGGACATGCTTATTAACCATAAGGCCCAGTGAAACAATATTGGGTGTTTCTTTGGCAATTTTGCCCTTGTGCACCACAAATGGTGGTGAACTTGTCTTGCAACTCACTCGCGGAAGGATTGTCAAATATAATTTCAAAGAGGAAAAATTTGGTGTGCATGAATGAAATGGAATGAGAATGAGAATGGAATGGAATGAGTATTATCATTCTAATGTTTGGTGTGACACGGTGAATCGTTATGGAATGGAATGATTATTACCATTTTATTGTTTGGTGGAGTATCATTAAATCTGGAAGGGAATGTCTTTTATCAAAAATGCCCTTTTCATTGGAGGAAAGAAAAATAAAAAAATTATAACTAAACCAACTCAAAATGATTGAATATTTAATCTAAGAAATTGATGTAAAGGCTAAAAAGTAATATATATATATATATATATATATATATATATATATATATATATAATGATATATCAATCTTAATAATATATAAAAAATCGTGCACCATAAGATCAACTCAAATATAATTAAGGAAATAAATAAATCATCAACCCAACAAAAAAACCTGGTAATATTTCCAAGTACTTGTGTAATTTTTTTTTTTTAAAATTTTTTTATTGTAGATTTCTTGAAAATTCTAGTTTTGATAAAATTCTAATCAAGCAAGGTTCTCCAATCATCCAACGATGAACTCGACTAAGGGTCCAAAAGTCAAACTAGTCCACTTTTGGTTCCAGATGATTACACAAATGTTTCAACACAAAGATACAAAAAAAAAATAAATAAAAATAAAAAATAAAATAAAAAATGATATACTTAGAAGATAAAAGAGATTTAATACCTACTTATCAAAAATAAATAAACAAAGAAATTAATACTTGTAATTTGGTTGAAAGTCCTGCAACTTTTTTGTCAATGGCAGCTTCGGGTATATTCAGAAGAGAGGGAAGATGAAAGACCTTTATCACGTCTAATAAAGAAGCCGATAAACATGAAAAATGGAATGTGAAAGATTTTTGGTGAATGCAAAATATTTTTGCCTTATTGGAATGTGATTAAGGGCTTATTGGGAATATTACAAAAATATTTTATCTTACTATGGAATGGAACGACCATTCCATAGGTTTACTAATGTAATGGATTTTCATTCCCTGAAATGGATTTTCATTCATTGGAATGGTTATTCCATTCCATTTCTGCACACCAAACAACTGAATGGTTGGAATGAGCATTCCATTCCATTCAATTCCTGCATACCAAACGTAGCGACATGTGGATACCAACTTTTATAATAATGGATCATTTATGCATGTGGAGAGTTTTGTGCCGGTGTCGCCCATTGTGCACAGAAGGATTCAGAGAGAGAAAAATAAGGACATGATTGAAGCCAAAGAAGGTAAAGTATCTCTTCTTTGGGTCTTTGAATCCATTTGCAAAATAGTACAGGCTTGCTTTTAGTATGCATGTCATATGGTTTAAATTTTAGAACAATTTAATGTTGTTTGTGTTTTATGGAAAACAAAATTAATTTTGTTTGAAAATTTTGTACGTTTTCCTATCAATTAATATAAGTTTCTTGCTTGCCATGGTAATGTAGTAATATATACATACATACATATATGTTTTGTACACAGACACCCCTTTATGTATTGTGCTATGAAACCTTTTGACTGTAGCTCAAAATTGATGCTGTTTGCTTTGAAGTTATAACTAACAAGTGAAGGTATGAGATATAGAAGGAATATATTTCAAATTAATTAATATATCTACATATAAAGTGCTTGGAATATAGCATTCAAATGCTTTATGGTTTTTAACGAAGAATACACTTTTTCTACTTACAAAAACAATTTTTTTTTTCTTTTCTAGATTTTATTTTTCATCTGCAAAAACAAATGCATTATGATCATCTTTAATTTTATTTGGACAAGTGTTTGTAATGTCAAAATGTTTACTAGGCATCTGATCATAAAGTTGTTTTCGAAAATTTAGGAAAAAACACCAACTTAAACACAAAAAATGAAGAAAGTAAAATTGTTTTGGCTTTAAACACCGCCGCCCAGTTACTCACATATATTGAATGAACAACATATTCGGATCCTTAAAACAATAATTGCTTTCAAATGACCACGATTAATCAAATGAAGTAAAGAAGCTCAATAATGTTTTCAAATGATCACGGTTACCACGAATAATCAAATGAAGAAAAGAAGTTGAATAAGACTCATACTTACAACTAACATCATATAATCCAATTAAGACATTGTTGGATAGGCTAAACTAGTAAACTTTTCTTAGATATTGTAGAATAGGTTAAACTTACAATTTTTTTTTAAAGACTTTTCGAGTTTCCTGGTTAGAGGTTTATTTGTCATTTTATTGTTGTTGAAATAGCTTTTTACCGAGAATTATCAACAGAAAATTCAAACAACAGCAATAAATTAAACTCACCTCGACTATGTGACATATGAAATAAAAGTGACCAGTAAATATTTTTCTGTGGGTTTTCATGATGACACGTATCATTGTATATTGACTACTAGTGTAATACATTGTTTAATCAGATAAGTTTTTTCACTATATTCTACCCATCGATCATAATGTATTTTTGTCATCCACATGTAAATTAATTACCTCGATCCCATATAGAGTCTGTGCAAATGCATTTTGAAAAATGTGAGTACGAAGAGTGTAAAATAGACTGTATTTACATAATAGGATGGATCGTTACAGATGATATAAAAATCAATTCTCAGCGAAAAATGAGTATCTAATATACATATATGACGGGTCGTCACGGATAGTATCAAAGCCAATCCTCAGTTGAGCATATTACACAAGCCCATAAGAGTTTGAAGTGATTGTGATGTCCCACATCATTAGAGAGGGAGGTTGTTGTTAGAGCTCATGTGTGGACGCCTCATAACTGAAATTTCTTGTTGGGATGGGGGATTAGTTTCAACAATTACCTTGCATATTACATGTATCACTTTATATTATTTGGAACTAAATTTTTTTGGGCTTGAAATTTGAAAAGTGATCGAATTATATTCCATGTTAGAAATAAAATTTGTTCTATTTTAAGGTAAGACATTAAAAATGTGAAAGAGATTGGTATGCATTTTGTTTTTCCTAGTATCGACTGCTCCCTTCTTGGCTGTCGATGTCGAGGCTACATTATTCCCCGTAGTCTGCTTAAGCTTTGATATAATCTCACAGACATAAGGTTTTTTGATGGATATCTCAACCACATCTACTTCTAGATCATTTTCAACTTCTGCTGAAAATACTTCATAATTGGGGTCTTTGTAATAAGTTCCCTTTGAAACATTCTTTCTCTCCTTCTCTTCCTTAAGGATCTTCTTATATCGAGTGGCTCGATCAGCTAAATTAAAAAGATCGTGGAACTCAACCCCATCAAATCTTTTGTGATACTCCAAGTCTAGGCCATTTAGCGCAAGTTTGATATACTCAGGAGCATGTAATAATGAGACTTTGCATTTGAGTTTGGCCTTTCTGAAACGAGTAATGAAAGTTTCTACCAATTCGCTTGGCAACTGAGATAGTCTGGAAATATCGGCCAACGTAGTCTCAATTTCTGTTCGGTAGAATTGTGCATGGAATGCCTCTTCCAACTGATCCCATGTGAAGATGAATGTACCAATCAAAAGCCGACCCAGTGAGAGAACTGGAAAACAATGTCATGACCCAAGTCTGTGGACCCTAATCATCAACCGGGTCCTCATTCAAACCCGAGGTCACACAAAGGTAATATGGTCATTTAATGATATAACATTGATTAATTGTCGTGATAATGGTAGTTTGGTCATTTAATACCACAACATTTAATTATAATAAAGTCTAAGGTAATTTGGTCATTTACAATAGGTACGGATATTTAATTAACGTCTAATAGCTTTCGACTTCAAACTTATGTCTCAAACCTTGTAGAAGGATTGCTATTAGATCAACAGTACTCCACAAGCGCCTTGATCCCTTCAAAGTGTGATCTAATTTTTTTTTTATTCGAATCTGAATTTGATGTAGAAGAAATAAAATCTGCTTTCTTTGATCATTGTAGATGCAATCTTCAATTGACTTGAACTTGATCAGGAATTGAACAACACGCTAAATCACTCATGTGTATATAGTGTATATTCTTAAAAAAATCTCACAAAAAGGCTTTCAACAAAGCAAAAAGCCACACAACCCTAAGTGAGAAAAAATGTTTTTATATATTTTTGAAACCCTAATTATACTTGGATAACAAGACAAATTCATGCATAAGGTTTTAAGAGAAAGTCTATAAAATAGGAAGTTGAAATAGAGTAGGAAACAAAGTTATCAAAAACTACTGTCAAACTTAACCTGCTTCAGCTGCCTTTGGACCGTTCAAGTTGGCTAATGTGTTTTTTAAAAACGAAGCTGTAACACTTGAACCAGTTCAGTTGCCCTTAAACTGGTTCAATTTGGCCAGACCTGAACTGAAGGCTTCTGCACTTAGAAAAATTTCGACAATGCTTATTTTTGAAAATATGCAATGCAAATAAGTGTCTTCACCTTCTAACTAAACTTTCTAAGGTGTTGTTCTTACATTTTCGAAGTCATCGAACTATTTATCACAAACAACTCTTCAATCCCGCTTCCGATCTCAAACTTAAACTTTAAACTTCAAAATTATAACTCGATCAGACTTATTTTGACAACGATATTTGCCAATTACAAAATATATATCTGACAGCTAGTGGCATGCATGGGAAAGGATTGTTAAATACTATTTTGAAGATAAGACATTTAAGGATCTTTTGTTGTCGACTTTATCGCTATACTAGCTGTGTATGTGGAGTTTTGTACCATAGAGAGAAATAATTACATTATAGTCTTATTCCATCATTTCCTTTGATTTCCTGTTCATCTCTAGTTATGTGTTATGGTATGGTTTTGTTTTTAGAAGTATGCTTCTGAGTTTCTTATTTTTGCTTTCTCCAAAAGTAAAATCATGATTTTCATTTCTGAATCTGAAATATAAAGTAAAATTATGTTTACTAATTTGTCATGCTTTCAATATTTTCAAAGTAAGAAATTAGAAAGCAAGTTCAATAATTATAATTTTGATTTTGTATTCTAAATTGATATAACCATATAGGGTCAAGTACAAAAAACAC